GACCTGCGAGGCGGCAGGCGCCCTGCCTGTGGGCGGGTAAAGGCTAAGGGTTGCCTTCAAACATTGAAAACCTTAATTATTTATTTACCGGGGACAAAACTCAGGTGCGGACGGTACGTCACGTACGCGGAATTTGAAACGTTCACGTTTGCTGTAAGATGGTAAAAATGCGAGAAACAGGAACGTATTACAGCCAGGTTGAAAGTTATGTCTTTTCGATTAATGTTACGATCAGATTTTAGAACGATGGCGATATTTTAAAGCTGAGAATAAAGTAATCTGTACCCTTATTTGGACACTTTATCCCTTTTTATCAGACGTTGTTCATAAATGGGAGAAACAAAAATGTACCATAGTCAAATGGAAAGTTGTGTCTTTTCGACTAATGCTATCATTTTTTAAACGAAAATCATATTGTACAGCTGGGAATAAAGTAACATACGAGGGTGGGATGAATAGTTTTCGGCCTGATAAGGAAAATAAAAACATTATCGTACTTTACTTTATTTCGCTACAAAATTTTCTTCTAAGAATATACACATGCACCATCGATACTCCAGTGTTGGGATCGCTTCTTTATAGACGTTTATGTCTAAATATATAAAATAGCCATTCATCGTTGCGATGACTTTAGAATTGAACCATATTTTTTCGTAGCAAGGGATTTTTTGAGGTTTGCGAAGAGTTTGAAGTCTAAAAGGACCAAGTCGAGCGAATGAGGTACATGCAGAATGAATTCAAACTTTAATTTCTGAAGTTCCGATGCGATTACAAGTTGTAATTTTTAGTCCGAAGTCAGTAAACCCTGCACCCACCTTATTGACAATTTTCTCATACCTCAAGATATCAGTTGAGATATAATGTTTACTTTCTTTCTATATACCAGCAATCTCAACTATCTTCGTTAGTTTCAATTGGCAATCAATCATAATGCTTTTGTCAATTTTTTGAACGATTTCTTCAATTGTGGTGGATTTTGGCCTTCCAAGACGTTCAGCAGTTGTATATGAAAGAGCAGATTTCCCCAATGTTGCGTCTTATTTCACCTTAATCTGTGTAGGAGATAAACCTTTGATAAAAAGAGATTTCATCACTACTCGCAATTTGGTTTTATTCATAGTTGGGAAACGATACAATTGGAAAACTTTAAAAAATCGCGAAATAAAAATAATTCAAATAGCCCTTTGAAACATTCGGATAATAGTAATAAAATGGTGCATTTTAATGTAGTATACTCAAAATGACGCCGCAAGCGCCACCACTACGAGAGGCCGGAAACTTTTCATTCCCCCTGGTATATCCTTGTTTGAAAATTTTATCTCCTTTCACTCAAAACTTTTTACTGCAACTAATGGTTAATTCTGCAACAGTGAGAATGCGTTTAAAGTTTTCAAACAAAATTCTTTAGAAAATTCGTATCGACATAAAGATACGTAATCTAGTTATATATCCACATCCTTGAGTACACCTCTACTTGAGTGGACAAAGGTTCCGTTAAAATCTCCGTCGTTTACCCGAAACGTATCTTATCCATTCCCGCTAGCCGATACTCTAAGATCTCTTTTTAACATATTCAACGGTAACAGAAACAATTTCCCCCATAAGTATAGGGCAGTATAAACAATTGAAGAACAAGGTTCACACGAATGGCCGGGGTCAGACAAATCGAAAGAAGCAACGTTCGACGCGGGAGCAGCGGCGCGGCGGAATGGAGAGGTGCGGTGGAAATAGAGGCGGTAACAGTGGTCGAAGTCGATGCTTAGTCGCACCGAAAAGAGATAGAGGCCGACCGATGATACCGAACGTGCACGTTGGGGGCTGGAAACGTGCGCTGAATGTGTCGTGGCCGCCGCAAAATACTCTGTCACGCAACTGTGTTGCATGCTGCCTTGCACATAGAGAACGTCTAGTTTGGCCACATCCACACGGATTTATCCATATATGGCGTGTACACACCGGGCGGGTCAGTGTCAGGCGGAAAGGTGTACAATACTTTCAGTTATTCTCAAGAATATTCAAACAGTAATTAAGCTTGACTTTTTAGCAACGTACACGTAGTGAATTGGGAAAGAATTCAATTGACGTTTTTTTTTATGAAATTTGTGTTATTTATATAACTGTTGTATCAGATTATGTACCGACAATTTAATGAATTTTAATGAATGACGAGAACATACGAAATGTAATGTAATTTTGTATGAAATCATATACAATTATTATACGACAAGCTGTGATGCAACTTTGTACATGATACTCTATAGTTTTCTTAATTTTATTTCAATGTTGAGCATGAATTTCATATTTCACAATCTGTAAAATACATTTATTCTGTAAGGATGCAGCATAAAAGGAAAGAAACTATGTTAATGTTAAAACCATAAATTGATGCTCATAGTTAAATAGTGCTCAATTTAAAATACCAGCTACGAATTACTATATCGATACGAAATACAGCTAGGAATATCCTGGAATTAGTGATCCACAATTAAAAGCGAATTTGCTTGAGCATAGTGGCAAGAAAATACAATCAAGTAGGTTGCTTAAAGTACTTAACCCTCTGACGACCGCAAGTTAGGTGACTACGCTAAAGTCATTTTGAACTCAACGCCATTGCTCGAGACACTCCACTGAATAATGTGAATCAGAAGGAACTCCCAGCAGGTCATCGGAAGGTTAACAGAAGTAGATTTAGTGAGTTTTTTTATCGACAAAACCATTAATGAAGTAAATTAAAAAAAGTTTCATTTACACAAAACAGTAATATTTATAATCAAAAATGAATAAAACAAGACTACAGTGAAGTGTTATTATCGATATCTTGAATACGAAATACGAAGTCTTAATTGAAGTTTTAAAGCTTAAATACGGAGATAATGATAGAATTACCATATTAACTGAAAGTTTTTATATTACAAACACTCTTCAAATACTAAAAATGAAAATGTCTCACATTGCTTATCTTCGAAGCGCAATATAAAATAAATCTGGCAGTTGAAATATTTTTGCTAGCAACTGTACGCGCGCTAGTACGCGGGACGCTATACCTGGCTATCTGCTCGCAACGGGCAACGTTGGCTCGCGTGATCTCTTGGGACCGTCCACCCATTTTCCACCTTCACTCTTCTGCGCGCCGTCCACCCCGTGCCGAAGTCAGATAAACCGCTTATTTTATTCATAAACCCACAACGTGAAATCAATATTGCATCGCGCTCAAAGATAGAGAGGTAGGAACGTGGTAGGGAATCTAGAGAGGGAGAGGCAGCGGCAGAGGCAGAGGAAGAGAGGGAGAGAGAGAGAGATTGCGGGAATATGGACGTCTCCCGGATCCGAGGAGCAGAGAATGCGGGCGATGGACGTTTAACTCAACCCCATCACGGTCATTCCTCCTGTCTCTGTCTCTCAACGTTACACGATCCACCGCTGTGTCTGTGACCCTCTCCCTCTGACCATCGGCGGTGCGTCTCTGGATCTCCACCCCCTCGTCATACCTAACGTGGTGGAATGTGGGATGAAATTAGTCCTTAGCCCCAGTCTGATGCGGTGGAACGCGATGTCCGTCCTGTGACGGAATGTCTAAAGCCAGACGATGGTATTCCAGTATGTGCCGAGGCGTAGAAACGCAACTTCCCTTGCGATATAAATGTCATCGGCTGGGAGGATGAGCGGGGGTTGCTTTGACAGAATATTGTGGCGCGTCGAAAGGGTGACCTTGTCGGGTCTGACGCACGCCGATTACGCTTTTTCCTGTCAACGACACGTCGCGACACGTTGAAAGCCTGTCGGCGGAGGGACTGATGCGAATGTTTAGGGTTTTCGCTTGGCACGCGATCGATAGACCGAGATATTAAAGAGCGCTGCACTTTTGATCATGTCAATTAGATTGGAGGCGGACTGGGCAAACGGGAAATGTTTGAACAGTAGTGAGATGATTACGTATAGAACAAACGTAGTTAGTAAGTTTCTTGAGTTTATTGAAAGGGTTGGTGAAGGGTACTGTCAAATAAGAGGGTCAAAGGTGTCCTTGAGCTAAATTAAATCGAGAATGAACCGTTCGATAGTTTGCCAAGAGAAAACATTGTGCGGCAGGTTTCAGCCCTTTACCTTGACCGAGTGATTACAAGAAGAGTCTTGGCTGTTAGATTTCATTTCATTTAGTCTGTCCACTCGCATGCAAAATGGATCTCGACAGATAAACTGTTCTCCAATTTTTTAGTTGAAAATCTTAGTTACGAACAATTGAAAGCAATAAGAAGTAGAGGATACCGAAATTCAAAAGAATAAAGACCGAATTTTTTGTTCTATTCGAAAAATAATAGTTTCTACTTTGAATGTTTGTATTCACTTCTAAATAAAATTAATTTTATACGCCCTTAAACATTATGTAAATTTAACAAGTTAAATTCAAAAGTATAATGGATACAGCAATTAAATGCTTAATTGATCTCCATACAGTCAAATATTTTTTCGTAGATATTTCTCAATTCTCATTCTACATACCAACGAATGATGTAACATCTATTAAAACTGTCTTGAAAATATTTTTAGTTAAAAAATAAACAAAAATAACACGAGAAATTCGTTTTGTGGATACTAATAAGCATCCCTTTAAAAGCACGTATAAACCTTAATACGCGTTTTTCGCGCAGAACTCGCGAGATCTTAATTAGGTACTGAATTTAGATTAGAAGCTACAGCAGTGCCTTCTATTGAATTACAGTCCAAGAAGGTCGAAGTCCGTTTCCAAATCAATTGAATTACAAACTCGCCGTATTCGTCCTATCGAGGGTGAATTCTGTATGGCGTGTTCACTACAGTCAAGCAAAGTTGAAGTGTTTCTAACAATGGGCGGGTTAGTAGCTTCTAATGTTCCGGGTGTGCGCTGTTCGCCGCGCATGAATAAAGAAATCAATGTTTTCCCGGGTGGGAAACGGCAAGACTCAAAGGGTTAGACCAAAGACCGGAATTGTCCTGGTCTTTAACCAACGTTTCTACGGTTCCAGGTAATACAGGGTAACACGAACACGTATTTGGAGTCCAAGCACGAGCTGGAGCCGCCTCTGTGGGCGAGCAAGATCCGTTTTCTACCCTACAGCCATCACACGCGGACGGTTTGCATGCGGGTCGAGCTCTACGGATGTTACTGGAGCGGTAAGCTGTTTGCACTCTCCAATTTTCATAGAACTTGCCGCCGCTTAGAATACTCACCGGACGACTGTCCATTAACCCTTATGCCGCGGCACCGTGCACAAATTTGCTTTTCGGAATCTTGCTTGCACAATTATCCCTTTCTTCCTTTGACGAATCAACATCGAATTAAACGTTTAGCCGAACGGAAGGTTACACACTCTGTTACACGCCTCGGTTGCATTTACACGTGCGCGGTCTCTATAAACCGTTGTGAATATAAAGCTAACCACGCTGTCTGCGAGAAAGTAAGGGACGTGTCCAAAACAGACTTCCCTGTTGCTTTTAATTTGATCGGAAATTTTGACAGGTATACAGCAGCAACATTCGTTGATTTTTTTTTGAAACTTTGGTAGAATGTTTTATAGTGCTTATAAAGTAGCTCATGCATATTTTTTTCATCGTATTATTCACGCTAAAGTGTTGATAATCTAAAGTTGAGGATGAGGAACATATTTAGTCGAATGTTGTGGTAGCTACATGACTTAGAAGCATGACTTCGGTAGAACCTTTTTCGTCATTATCAAATTACATACTTTAGAAGCGTAGAGACGTCATCACTTATCTTTGTTTTAAATAGCAGTGAATATAATTTAAGCATGTTTAATTCTGTAAATAACGTGCATAGTGGATTCATATTTTAAGATAATACCCACGAATTTATGTTTATTAAATATTTTTTTTCTATAGAACTACTTCTTCCTAAGTGATTCCGAATTAACGCCGATTATTTTTCAACTCGTAGTCTCCTCTCTACGAGATAGACATGTTATTAAAAATTATGCAAGCTTAATGCAAGTATATCGTATAGAATACTCTTACTTTTTCCAACAGATTATATTTGAATAACGTTAAAACGTCAACCACTTTAAGAATTAGGAGCAATGATCTGATTAGAATTTCTTTAACATTATCCGATCGTTTATATTTTCATTTTCAATACTCTCTTGACAAAACAATTTTTATTTAGTGTTATCTGCTGCGCAATTTCCCTCTAAAGTATTATATTCAAAAATACCTGTCATATTTTTATTTATATGTGTATAACATTTCCTGAATTAGAGGTTCCTCGTTAATTATTAGGAAACAAATTATTATTATTATTTCTGATACTTCTTGGTTCAATCTGTACATTTTTTCTAGAAGTGTATGTAAAAAAGGGATCACTAGATAGAAAACTGTCCTAAAAGAAGAATGGATTTGTATTTCGGATTGATATTTAAAAATTTATAGAAAATAAATCTTTCTGTTGAATCTAATAACAAGAAGTTTCTTTTCGGTTACCCATATTAATATACGTTAATTAATATAGATTAAGATCTATAATATAGGCCAATTTGTCTATCTATAACGTCTACAGCATGATTCCAGTACCTGTCAAGTTAATTATAATAATATCCTCTAACAGAAAATGAAGCTTTTATATCAGTCGTTTAGGGATTGATCATTAACCAGCGACTTTACACCTTGACCATTCTGCCGCAGATGGCGTAGTATCCTACTCGATGCCACAGGGCGATAAAAGGGGTAATGGATGGGAATTCTTTGACGTCACTTACGACGGCCTCTGGGACGTGGAGCTGCGTCGTGGCCTGGGTCAGTTGACGGACGGCAAAACGGGCCCTGATAACTTCAAACTGGGATATTACGATAACGATCGCACTCAGGGCTGGGTCGGCTGGAGAAACGACACCCGCGGTCAGCCGGTCGAGATCAAGTTCGAGTTCGACAAGGTCAGAGAATTCTCGGCCATTCACATCTACTGCAACAACCAGTTCACCAAGGATGTTCAGGTAGGTGATGATTACTCGTTGATTTTATCTTAAGTCATTTCGATGTAGCGACCCCCGTTTTTTCCTATTGAAATATTTATCACTGACACGTACAAGGTTCAAGGGGTCAGTTTGTGAGCTCATAAGGTTCCCAAGAGTCGAACGATTCCGCTTTGAAAATATTACCCAGATGAGAGGTGAATTTGGAATTGGTAGAAAAACCTATCGGTTTCCTATCATGTTCGTGGTAGTCTATAAATTCCATTGATATTTAAGCTTCTCATCCAAAAAGCATCGGAAAATACATACTTCATTGAAGCTAGAGGAAAGTGTTACCGAAAATAGCGAATACCCAGCAGCGACATTTATAAAACATTATAAATCCTCAAAGTCATCTATTTAACGTTATCAAATAATTTTTATACGCACTTAATCAACACTGCTTTATATTATAGAAGAATGAACAAATTTTTAAGCTTATAACTTGTACGGTATTCTTTGAACAGTAAATCTTTTAATTGAAATCGTAAGAATATTTTTACGACTCGTTATTAGGTAAACGTGATAATGTAATTCAATTAAAAACATCAGTTGAATCAAAGGAAATATGTACATAAAAATCCTACTTTTACATTTGAAATTAGTGATATATTTGTAGATAGATAAAATTCTATTTGGAGAACCTATACGATAATAGTTTAATAAACTATAAATATACGAAGAGCGTAGCTAAAGCTTAATAATATTTTGTAAAACATCCTAGTACTTTTAATAAAATGTTGGCAAATGTTACCCCTGTGTCAAGGACATATATGTTGTCAAGGACATGAGTCTTAGCAACTTTTTCCTATTCATACACTGGACGGTTCTCCTTTTAATTTTCAAGTTATGCACAAAAATATGTATTCTATTTATGTTTCCCTTCACTTACTAAAGTTTTTTCGTATGACATATAGAAATTATTTATATTTAGATAATAGAGATTGGCTTGTATCATCGTTTCATAACTACAAAAATTCTTCCAATCTGATAGGATTCCCGGCAATTACAAAGCGATAACGTGAATGGGAGAGGTACTCCGCCCTTCCCTCTGTACTCCTACTGCAAAACAACTAGCCGCATTAATACCAACTTCTATTATATAAATGAAATTCGTATGTACATATAGTAATAAACAACATGAGTACATGAATGTGAAGACGAAAGATTTTTAAACTTAATGCGAAACTTCATGCTTCATCATTTTTTAACCAATACTCACTGTCAAAATGTTTAAAGTTCTGGGTCTACAGAACAATTATTTTAACACTATATGTCAAGATTAAGGTCATTCAGGAGGTTGCCCTTTTTCTAAATAATTACGATATTTTCTCTTTTGTGGGCATATTTTTGCAAATATTTTGAAAACTAAAAGAGACCTCCTTTTAGATGTATAGGAAAAAGTTGTTCGAAGTAACGACCTTGATAACATATTTCAATGCCGTTGAAATCGGCGAGGAGGACAAACATGTTAGAATGGTAAAATGTTAAAAAATGTTTAAAGGTATTGAAGTAAAAGTTACGTTTCGGTCAATCAAACAACCATAACTGATTTACATCATTAAGATACATATACGCGGAATTTTCCTGACCATTATCATCAGACTACATACATACAGTTACTCGATTTAATATTCGGACACCATGGCACTTGTACGTGCGCATTCACGTTGCGAACGAATAATAGTAATCGGGAACAAATCAAATTATTTGTCAAGTTAAGATAATGCAAAATGTTACATAAAAGTCTACACAAGAATATTTTCCTTCATCTGCATACTTTACAAATGACTTCTTGAAATATTATTGTATTCAAATTGCATGAAAAAAATTTGATGATAAGGGTACATTTTGTCGTATGATGCAAATGGGTTAAAATCACTTTCATCTTCTTTCCGGTTTCCAAACCGCGTCGGATGGAATAAAGATAGATAGAGGATCCAGGGGGAAATCGAGAAGGGCGACTTCCGCATCTAATTACCCGTCCCGCCTCTGTCGCGTCACCGGCGTAAATACGCAAAAAGCGGGGAATCGTTTACCCTTGCTATTGGCGGCGTTATTCCCTTAGTCCTCGCGAGGAATGCGCAAGCAGCGTCGATCAACAGGCTTACCATCTACGGTTCCTCGGGATCGTTTCACCGTCACCTTCCTCCGCAGTCGCGCAGCATCTTGCCGTCCGATGTGCCGCCTCTCTCCGCATCCCCCACAGTTGATTGAATATTCTACTCGACGCTTTATCAGCCAGACGCTCGCTGAATATAAATACAATCTGAAACGGTAATTCCGGCAGCTCGATATCTTCGAACGTGGCTTATTGGCTCGATCGGATCGTGACGTCGCATCCAAACAGGAATAATCGGGGTGTACGATCTTTGTTATTAAACCAGGAATTAACTACCCCTGGTCTCGTTTTGTTACACTAATTGCCAATAATCCCGGGAAGGGATGTGTGAGATTGTTTTTCTTTTGTTTGTACAATCAAATTAGTAACAGTGATCCGGACGTGCCTTGAACTGTGAATTGATAAGGGATGAAAACGCGATTAGTAGATTTTTTAATAAACTAATATTTATTTGCATCGTTTTTTAATGTGTTTTGTTTTTTTTGAGTGAATTTTTAAATGCTTGACATTTCCGTAATAATTAAAATTTCCAAAAATCCGTTCCAGTTGTTTCCAATCGAGTCGGTCAACAATCGCTGTTTTATGAAAAGGAGTTCCGAAGCTCGCGAATAACTGCGTCATTCTGTAACATTTTGACTTAGAACAAATATAAACATAAAGCAAAAGATTACAGTTACACCTACAAAAAAAATCAGAAGTTTTCGCTGAATAGTTATCAACAAAAAATTCCTAAGTTTACCCATATTTAAAACGTCTCTAGGTGGTATTCCCCCTTAAACAACACAATTTCAAAATCCAGCGTGAAAAGGCTTCGCTTTCAGTATATTCCTAATCATCTAAAAACAAAAACTTTAGTAGCTGTAATTACGAAGTCAGCCGTCTGAAACGAGCAGCTAGTCAAGACCAGACTTAGACCAAAAGAAACGCAGAACCTTGGTTCCGTGGAGGATAGAAAGCCGGTACACGTTAACCGAACATGACCCCAAAACCACGAAGGATTAATTCAACCTTGCCCCGAGGGGACGTACACATTTACGAACAAAAAGAAGAAAAATAAAAAAGAAAGCAGAGAAGAGCTCGTTTATTTGACCCGACGTTTCGGTAATTGGAAAAACATGCGAAACATTAAACGCCGCGTCCTCCCGCGCTTTGGACGGTATTAAACCATTCGTTTGTCGCCATTTCTTCTTCGAACCGCGAAAAATTAATGTAAATCCACGAATCTAATTCTCAAACGCGAAAAACAGAAAAACGCTATCGCCTCTCCTTCGAGCATGGATAGGAAAGTTTTCACGTCATTCGTTACGCCCGTAATCCCATGCGTGACGGACGCCGGAAATGAGTTCGCAGAAGGTTTGGATTATTCGAATTGAGATGTGGGGGAGAGGGGACGGCATTCTTCGTCGCAGAGGCGGCCAATAATTCGATCCCTTGTATAATTTCCGTTTCGCAGCGATTCGCGTCCCTTCCACGTCGTTCACGCTAGTTTCGATAATGTAATGCAAATACGCCCTCTATCGCCTCCTCCTCCTTTCACCCTTCCGTTGATATAGATACGATACAGACGGACCGGCTCCCATGCGAACTCATCTTGACGATGGAATTATTTCCGTCCGTTGAAGAAAATATCGCAATCGCGGAAATCAAACTTCGTATTTATTGATTTGTCAATTGCTTTTTACTGTTTCGATCTTTGCATTAATTTCTAGAAGAGATACTGTTTAAACTCTTGATCTATGATTTCTTTTACCTTCCTGCTTGGTGAAACTGCTGCATCGCCAATGATTTATTAGAAAAAAAAGAATTTGTTACTTATTATATGTATTTATTCCAAATATTAACTGTTGATAATAGAAATGTGATATTTAATTTACATTTCAAAAAATTCAATCACGCGGTATTATAGAGCAACTAGTTAATGAAATTATTATTAATGAAATTGTCCAAACTGAAGTCTTATTTTCTTCTGGTATTTCCCAACCTCGTGCATCGTAATCGGATTTAGTTAATTTTATAACTTAGTGTGTAGAGTAAGTACCCATTAGAGTTGCAGTTAAGAACATGCAATCTATATATATATATTCAATATATATATTGAATTATTTTATACAATGAATATATATATTCATTGGGTTCGGTTACGATGACCTAGAATGTTGTGTAATCATTACTTTAAATGGTGTACGAAAAGACCTTGTAAAAAAAGAACTACGAAAAGATTGTGTTATACACAACATTATAACGTAAGATATTATATATCGCATAAGATATTATACAAAAAGTTTTAAAACGTCAGAAATTAAATTAAAAGTTATTGCGAGTATGGGCAGCTTAACTTATTATCGAAAATTAAAACTTGTTGCGTTTGAATAAAATCCAAAGTTCCAATTAAACAAGTTCAAAAATCAATCAGATAATGACGCTTCGAAAGCAGGCTACAGCCTATTTTAATCCCAGATGATAAATGTAGATTTATATTGAAAGGTTTGCTTTAATTGAAAGACACAGCTTTTGAATTTCAGATTTTATATCTCATAACTTTTACCGAGCAGTGCATTCTCTAAATATACTCTACGAAACCAATGAGTTCACTACTAAAATGAATGAATTTTGATTGAACTTTCTAAATGACTTATTCTGTGTATTTATTACATTTAAAGGTAATCTATCACTTTTATGTTCTCTTCACGCACTATTCAAATAAAATTGTTATTTCTCTATTTCTCTATTTTTCTATTTTAAAATATTATTCCGACAGAAATGTACAAAGGTTCCACAACACAATACTTTTTTAATGAAAAACTAAACGCTTGAAATTTCAACTAATCTCTCAATTTTCATAATTCCAACCGTAATTTCT